TAAATACATGAACAAATTTTCATATTTTACTCATCCCTAAAAAATGTTGAGAATACTGTGAACAGAATACAAGAAAGAAGTTCCTGGTTGAAATGAAAATTATGAATAGAGAGTAAATGAGCACATGACAGATGAGGCATCCTAAGAATTGAACTCAAAACGTCCCCATCCCTTCGGTGACATCTGAACTCAGAACCTCCCCCACCAAATTGAGCATCTGCCACAAGATCAAATCCCCTGTTTTTGCATTTATCAAATGCAAGATTTTAATTTTTAATTAAATATATTAAGATCTAGATCTCATCCTTGTGTTGTATACACATCAATGACTTGTGTACTTAGCAAAGTAACCTGGCTTGGTTGGCTTGGTGTAGTCATGTTGTGCTTCTCTCTCTGAAATTCAATATCAAATTTTCTTATTTGAATTACAAGTTCACATGAAATATGAGTTTCCAGGTGGTATTCTGATTGGCTGCTTATTCAGGCAATTCATCCTCCACCATTTTGTATCCATACATATACACTCCTAGTCTTTTATTTAGGTTGTTTACTTACATTCTTCTCTTGGACAATAAAATATAATAATCTTATGAATAATTAAATAGTTAAATTTGAAGATGATAAAAGAAAAATAGGGGCATTCCGAGAATCAAACTCGGGGCCTCTCGCACCCAAAGCGAGAATCATACCACTGGACCAAATGCCCTGTTTCAACATATCAAGTTTATTTAACATGCTTTACTGTAATTCCAATAATACCTTCTTGATGTTGGTTCCATGGTGCAATTGATGACTAATGTGCAGTTGGTGGATGTGTAGCTGGTGGAGCTGCTTTTTCAACGGTAGTTGGTAAGCTTATAGGTTGAATAATAGTTGGCCTATACCATTTAATGTATGAATAATTTTTCATATGTTACTTTTTTTTTGTTGTTTCAAAATAAATTTCCATATGATACATATCCCTCAAGAATGTTGGATATATTGTGAGCAGTATACAAGAATTAAGTTTTTGGTTGATATGAAAATTACGGTTAGAAATTCAACGAGCACAAATGCCACACAATTTCTTTGAGAATCTAGCAGTTAGCACTAGATCCAATGCCCAGAATCAAGATTTCAATTTTTTGATTGATATATTAAGATGTAGATCCGATCTTATGTTGTAGACACATCAATGGCTGTCCTTAGCAAAGTTACTTTTGAATAGTTGATGGAAATGAGGTGGAGAGTATCTACCTCCCTTTATTTAAGAACTCTATTGTGGTTGCCTCTCTGAATTTTTTTTGTAAATTTTTCTTACCAGAATTATGAAGTATACATGACAGATGAGCATCCAGATGGGACTCAGGCTGGCTTCTTATTCAGGAATTCATCTCCAAATAATTGGTATCTTTGCATATACACACCTCAATCATTTTCCTCTTGAACTATAAAATACAGAGAGTATGAATGATTTAGATTTAATAGATTTAATATAGTTCAGTAGCTTAAATTTGGAAATGTTACAAAAAGAAATTCATAGGGGCATTCCGAGAATCGAACTCGGGACCTCTCGCACCCAAAGCGAGAATCATACCACTAGACCAAATGCCCTGTCTGATTGTAATGAATTCATTTAATATTGTTTATCGCAGTTTAGTTAATATCTAGATGCTAGATTCATGGTACCATAAACTAATATGTAGCTTTTGTTCCTAACGAAAAATATGAATAGAAAATGAATGAGCACATGCCACATGAGTCATTCTAAGAATTTAACTCAAAACCTCCCCTACCAAATTGAAAATCTACCACTAGATCTAATGCCCTATTTTTTCCCTTAAGAAATACAAGATTTCAAAATTAAGACTTATTATGATGTAGATCTATCTTTTTTTTTTAGGTACAGATCTATCTTGTGTTATATACACATTAATGAACGTGTACCTAGCAAAGTTGCTTTTTAACGGTTGAGGAAATAAGGTAGGATACGTATCTACCTTCCTTGATTTATGAATTATCTTGTACTTGTCTCTATGAAACTCATTATCAAATATTTTTATCAGAAATATGCACGTATCATGATGGATGAGCATCCAGGTGGAATTCTAGCTGGGCTACTTATTCAAGCATTCATCCTCCATCATTTGGTATCTATAAACATAAACTCCTATCTTTTTTTTTTTTGGAGAGTCATAAACTCCTATATTTTATAGTGTCTTATTTAGGTTGTTTACTTACATTTTTTTTTTTTTGAATGAGATTTGGAAGTTAAAATTGGAAATGATAAGAATAAGATGGGGCATTCTAAGAATTGAACTCAAGACCTCTCACACCCTAAGCGAGAATCATACCACTAGACCAAATGCCCTGTTTAAATATATAAAATTCATTTAATATTTTGTTTATTATAGTTCAGATCATACAGCTTCTTGTTGGATCCGTGGTACAATTGACTAATGTATAGTTGGTGGAGCTGCTTTTTCAATGGTGGTTGGTAAGCTTATAGGTAGAATTATAATTTGTTT